TTGCTAAACAGGAAGCCGATATTGAATTTCAGAACAAAGCATACTGCCATCAAAATGCACACGTAGAACAATAAGCAAAGGCCTGTACATGATAAAGCACACAAAGGCAGAGACACAAGTGGAATCGTTTTAGCAGTATTCTAAGTAGTTAAACACGGGCTGCTTTTCAGTCTCGTGAATGTGAAATGGATGGGTGTATCGCAGGCAAGTATGGGAGAGGTGACTCTCTCCTTATATAAGATGGAGGGGGAGGATTAGGCTGGCTAAACACTTTACAGTTTTCCCTACAGACTGAAGAAGAAACAACGCTTGTTTCCCCCATCCACACTAAACAGCCTCTCCCCTGCCAGCTATTATATTTGGATATCCAGCACCCACAGCTGTCAGAATACCCAAACAGCAACTGTATCTGATTGGATGTAGTCACTGACTGACCATTTTCCATCGGCAAGGCGAAAAAAAAAAAAATGTGGTGAGGGTGGAGCCACCCACTGATCACATTTCATAGCAGGAAACTGTTGAAATTCGATGTGTGTATGGCCAGACACATATGTTGCTCTGGTTAAGCTAATCGCTCCATCCTGTCTATATAAAAACATGGTCCGGACTCCATAAAGAAGAACATAAAAGCATTTTAATAACCCTTGCAATGAGGCTACCCCGCACTGCAAGGGTTAAGTGCTTGTTTTTTGTCTAGGTGCAAAAATAAAGTTATACTCACCGGGAGCTCTGAGCCAGCCGGCTGTCGCAGCACTACCTCCAGCCTGTCTCCTCCTCCACTGCAGCTTTGGACTGTTCCTCAGAGTCCTCATATCTATACACCGATTTCCTGGACCGTAGAGTAGGGATGCACCGATAGCGCTTTTTCGGTATGGAGTACTGATATTTTCTTTTTGGTACTCGCCCATAACGAATACTGATATCGGAGGTCCCATTATGGAAGCCGATTAGTCGCCTCCATGCTACCTCGTCACCAGGTGATGAGGAAGCATGGAGACGGCTTTCTGGCCAATCAGGAAGCCCGGGGGGACGGGTAATGACTCACCGCCTGGCATCCTGATTGGTCGGGAAGCTAGCTCCATGCTCCCTCATAACCAAGTGACGAGGTAGCATGGAGCCGGCATCCCGGCTTACTGATGCCGGAAGTTTCGGTATTGGGGTAGGCATCGAGAACATTTGGGAGAGTACAAGTACTTGCCCAAGTATTCCGTATCAGCACCAATGCTAGTATCGGTGCATCCCTACCTTAGACCGCTGCAGAGGAGGGGAGAGAGACATTGGAAGGACCAGTCTAAAAGGTGCCCATACACCTTACGATTATCGGACAAAACTTTTCGTCCGATGATCGAACCGTCGTACGGGGCAGGCACCATCCTGCCCCGATTATCGCAAGGTTCAATCAGCGGTAGTTAGAAAAAAACACCTGGACGACTTGCGGTAATTGACCGCAATTATTTTCGTTTGCGCATTCGCAGTGTTAGTCGTACGACATTTGACGGACGGAAACGCCACCAACCATGCGAACATCGTACGATCAACCAGTTTTCAAACATGCTTGACCGTCAAAAGTCGTACGATTGTACAGTACTATCGGTCGGGCACTCTATTCACACGTTACGATTGTCGTACGAAAAGTCGATCGCATACGATTATCGTACGATAATCGTAAGGTGTATGGGCACCTTTAGAAGAAGCCTGCTCGGAGGATCAGGCGAGCATAACTTTTGTTTTCTTTTTAACCTAGACACAAATGAGCAGTTAACCCTTCCAGTGCAGGGGTAGCCCCACTGCAAAGGGTTAGTAAAGGTTTTTTCCTGGAGTTGTTTAAAGGCTGGAGCTACACGATCGGCTTCTCTAACACTCAATTGCCTGCTTTGGAACACGTCGTTTGTAATAGGGTTAAGTGCTTGTTTTTTGTCTAGGTGCAAAAATAAAGTTATACTCACCGGGAGCTCTGAGCCAGCCGGCTGTCGCAGCACTACCTCCAGCCTGTCTCCTCCTCCACTGCAGCTTTGGACTGTTCCTCAGAGTCCTCATATCTATACACCGATTTCCTGGACCGTAGAGTAGGGATGCACCGATAGCGCTTTTTCGGTATGGAGTACTGATATTTTCTTTTTGGTACTCGCCCATAACGAATACTGATATCGGAGGTCCCATTATGGAAGCCGATTAGTCGCCTCCATGCTACCTCGTCACCAGGTGATGAGGAAGCATGGAGACGGCTTTCTGGCCAATCAGGAAGCCCGGGGGGACGGGTAATGACTCACCGCCTGGCATCCTGATTGGTCGGGAAGCTAGCTCCATGCTCCCTCATAACCAAGTGACGAGGTAGCATGGAGCCGGCATCCCGGCTTACTGATGCCGGAAGTTTCGGTATTGGGGTAGGCATCGAGAACATTTGGGAGAGTACAAGTACTTGCCCAAGTATTCCGTATCAGCACCAATGCTAGTATCGGTGCATCCCTACCTTAGACCGCTGCAGAGGAGGGGAGAGAGACATTGGAAGGACCAGTCTAAAAGGTGCCCATACACCTTACGATTATCGGACAAAACTTTTCGTCCGATGATCGAACCGTCGTACGGGGCAGGCACCATCCTGCCCCGATTATCGCAAGGTTCAATCAGCGGTAGTTAGAAAAAAACACCTGGACGACTTGCGGTAATTGACCGCAATTATTTTCGTTTGCGCATTCGCAGTGTTAGTCGTACGACATTTGACGGACGGAAACGCCACCAACCATGCGAACATCGTACGATCAACCAGTTTTCAAACATGCTTGACCGTCAAAAGTCGTACGATTGTACAGTACTATCGGTCGGGCACTCTATTCACACGTTACGATTGTCGTACGAAAAGTCGATCGCATACGATTATCGTACGATAATCGTAAGGTGTATGGGCACCTTTAGAAGAAGCCTGCTCGGAGGATCAGGCGAGCATAACTTTTGTTTTCTTTTTAACCTAGACACAAATGAGCAGTTAACCCTTCCAGTGCAGGGGTAGCCCCACTGCAAAGGGTTAGTAAAGGTTTTTTCCTGGAGTTGTTTAAAGGCTGGAGCTACACGATCGGCTTCTCTAACACTCAATTGCCTGCTTTGGAACACGTCGTTTGTAATACGCAAGAGCTTCATGGATGATTTTAAATCACATGATCAAAGTGATGATTACAGATAACAAGTCAGCAGAGGTGGACAACTCTAGCCTTCCAGCTATTGTGGAACTACAAGTCCCATCAGGCATTGACTGACAGAGGCATGTTGGGATTTGTAGTTAAAGCACACCTGGAGGGCCAGAGTTGCCCACCCCTAGCCTAAAGTATAACGAAGTTTGCTGGAGCATTGCCCTCCTAACTGTCTTGTATTGATTTGTATTTTAACTATACAGTCTCCTATTATTTTATGAAGCATTATGCACACCGTTGATGTTATATAAATCTCGGATAACAATAAAAAGTAAAAAAAAATTGGTACATTTGGATATAATGGTCAGGGGTTAGAACCACCGTCAGGTTTTTATTGCCGTCTTTATCCCATTTAGGGAGATTCACCCACTCTTAAACTGTCCTGATCACCAACGTCACCATGTCAGGAGGGTAAATCCAAAGTCTGGAGTTGCCACCAACACAGGAAGAGAGGGGGGACTCTTGTTCCAGTGACTTCTATCTAGGCAGCTCCATAGAAAACATTACAAAAGGGGTCCCCTGCACACAGGGCTGTAATGCACAGGTGTGGCCAGGAGAGTAAGGCTTGCTTCACTGGATGCAAACACTGGAGCCCACGGCGCTCATATCCAGGAAAATATGCAACTGTGGAGGGGGCGGTGGGTTACATTAGGTGAGCGCAACACGGCAAACAGTCTAAATGTTGGCTGTCTTAGGGCTCATTCATACAGGTACATAGACCCATACATCTATGCAAGGCGCCATGTTTATGCCACCATGGAGGCACAGCTATTAAAATCAAGGCTGCAACTGCACAAATCATCACACAGTGTTTACATCCGTACAGGGACGGATACACGGCTCTGGACGCAGCCTGTCTGCATCCGTTCGTGTACAAGATGGGTGCGACGTCGGGAGAAAGAAAATTGAACGATGGTTGTAAGCAGTGGCGTCAGAAGGGGGGGGGCATTGGGATGTGCGTGAAGCTGTGTTAAAATCAATGACTGCTGCATGGTGCCTTACCAGGTGCATAAACACAACGGAGGGGAATTTTTTTGAAAACTGGAGCAGTTGCCCATAGTAGCCAGCTACTTGCTTCAGTTTAGCTTTGAAAGTGAAAGAGAAAAGCTGATTGGTTGCCATGGACAACTGCTCCAGATTGGATAAATTCCCATAAATGGAAGGATTTTATGAGATCTGGAGCAGTTGCCCAAGGCAACCCATAAGCATCTACAGTTTGTTCAGATAAGCTTCGAAAATGAAAGCTAGAAGCCGATTGGTTGCCATGGGCAACTGCTCCAGTTTTGTAGGGATCCGTGTGAATCCTTGCACTCTCCTCTATATTTAAAGAGAAAGTAAAAGTTTTGGCGTTATATATAGTTTAGATACAAGAACATCTGAACTGTACACTTCTCTCTAATGAAGTGACTGATGACCTAAATAAAGATAAGGAAAAACCGCATACGATCGTGGAAAAAAAAAAAGCCATTCGTCATGCAATCAATATCGCCCGTGTGGTTATTTCTGAAGCCCTTCCTGTTGGATATGTGATGATCCTTTCCCCAGCACAGGAGCTATGGGGTTAAAAGGCAAAGTTGGATCCCCTTCCATAAAATGGTGTTTGACAGGAAGCTCCTGTGAAGTGAGGAAGCTCGGCCCTCCTCCCTAAAGAGCCCGGGTGGAGGATGTGGCAATGGCTTTCCACGACCCTTCACGCATCCCCTCCCCGGACTGCCATCAACTCCACTCGTGGAAAAGTTCCCTGAAAAGTGAGCACAGCCCCCCCTTCCCTCCCCTCCAAATGACTACAATCCCCCCTTCTCATCGAATTACTACCTTTCACAAGTCGCCCGTCTGCTTCTGTGGCAGGCGATCAGACGAAGGGACCAGGCAGCAGGCGACACGGTCCAGCCGCGGGAGGGGGAAGCAAGCTGCCATGTAGGCCTATAGAGCACGAGAAGCGGCAGATCTTAGTAGTGAGAGGCAGAGGAGGGCCGGAGGGAAGCAGGACAGAAAAGAGGAAGCAGTAGGAGCTGCACGCAGTAGATAAACAAATTGCCCTCACACAAAAGAGGGCTGTCATTTCAAGCACACAGCGCAGATGAATGGGAGCAGAGTGCTGGGAGGGAGGGGACGAAAACACCCAGATCTCTCTCAACAGGTTGATGAGCGCTGATCTGCCATAGAAACACGCCTGCTGCTACTGCCGCTTGGCTGTGGAAAGAGCAGCTGCTGGCCTGGCCCTAGCCGCTGTCACGTCAAAAGAGGCATCCCCCGCTTCCCCCTTGAAGCGCAGACCCCCCACCCCCC